TCCCCTGGGACTGGAGTTATGGACAGTTGTTAGCTGCCATGTGGGTGCTGGGATTTGAACCTGGGTCTTCTGCAAGAATAGCCAAGTGTTTTTAACCACTGAGCCATCTCTCCGGCCCCTCAAAATGAAAAATATTAAAATAAAAATTATTATTATAGTTATTAACTCATGCTATATTAATTTACATTAATAAAAAGACATAGAGGTATGACTTAATATAGTTAAAATCCACAAAAATCAAGTCTAGAGGCTGGAGACACATTGCCTGTATGTAAATATAGGTGATTTATTGCATGCCCTCAGAATTATTACTCTATAGAACTGTCCTAGTCAGCTGTAACTGTCAACTTGGTACAGCTTAGAGTCAGCTGATAGGAAAGCCTCCACTGAGGAATTTCCTAGATCAGATTGGCTGTGCATGTCTCTGGGGGACTAACTACCTTGTTTATTAATTGATGTAGGAAGGTCCAGCCCACTGTGGGCAGCACCATGCCTAAGCAGGTGGTACTGGGTTGTATAAGAATGTTAGCTGAGCATGAGCCTGTGAATGAGCCAGTAAGCAGTTTCTCCATGGTTCCTGGCTTGAGGTTCTGCCCTACTTCCCTCAGGGATGGACTGTCACCTGTTAGATGAAATAAACCCTTTCCTCCCTGAAGTTGCTTTTGGTCAGAGTGTTTTTATCACAGCAACAGAGAAGCAAACTTGGGCAGCGACCATCTAGCATCAAGAGCCATTTACCGCATACCTGTTGTGTACCTGTGTGGAAGGGGAAGGGTACAGCCCTTACTTTGAAGAACTCAAGCCTATCACTCAGCATCTCTGTATGACCTTATAAAATCCTTATTTAATTTCCACTTTTGGTAACTTAATTGCAGGCAACCCAGAAATAACTTGCAACTAGTATTTAAAGGCAATTAAAAAATTCTACTCAAATGCCAGGCGTGGTGGCACACACCTGTAGTCCCAGCACTTGGGAGGCAGAGGCAGGTGGATCTCTGTGAGTCCAAGGCCAGCCTGGTCTACATAATGAGTTCCAGGAAGGCTGGGGCTATGGGGAGACCCTGCTTCAAAGAGACAAAAAAAAATTTTTTTCCACTCAATTAAAATGTAAGTCATAATACAGTTTGTGTTCTTGCCTATGGGAGTTACATTTTATCACGTATAAGAAGACAATTTAGAAATTGTAAGCATCAGTAATTTGCTTCCATAATATTTATAAACCAAATTATTAACATTACAATAAAGACTTAATCAGGCTGCTATATGGAAATTGGGTTTAAGTAGTCACAAGTCTGAGTGCATAGAGAATCTTCTCTGTAGTGGGAGGCAGAGGGAGGGGGAATCTCTGTGAGTTCAAGGCCAGCCTGGTCTACAAATTGAATTCCTGGTTGCAAGTGCTCTCTGTGCCCGCAGTTACAGCCGCATCTGGAACCCACATGTTAAAAAGCCTGGATGTCTAAAAATAATTCTTTTTAAAAATGTTATTTTAAGCTGGGCGTGTGGTGCACGCCTTTAATCCCAGCACTGGGGAGGCAGAGGCAGGCGGATCTTTGTGAGTTCAAGGCCAGCCTGGTCTACATAGTTGAGTTCCAGGACAGCTGGGGCTACAGGGAGACCCTGCTTCAAAAAAAAAAAAAAGTTTATAGAGAGATTAATGACCGAGGGAAACTTAGCTGCCACCGCTGTGACTAAAGTTTACTTAAAATGAGGCTTTTTCCTAAGACAATGAAAGCAACAGGGATCCTACAGTCCTGCACTTCTCATTGTCCTAAATCCAAACTGTGGGAACCCATAGGTCTGTTGCCAATTAAATTGTAATTTTTTGGGGGAGGAGGGTCTTTTCAGACAGGGTCTCCCTGTAGTCCAAGTTTGTCTGGAACTCAATACTTTTTTTTTTTTTTTTTTTGGTCTTTTTGAGACAGGGTCTCTCTGTAGCCCCAGCTATCCTGGAACTCATTATGTAGACCAGGCTGGCCTTGAACTCACAGAGATCCACCTGCCTCTGCCTCCCGAGTGCTGGGATTAAAGGCATGCACCACCATGCCCAGCGGAACTCAGTACTTAGACCAGGCTGGCCTCAACTAAAAATTAAAAAAAATTTTTTTATTAAATTTTATTTTTGTTTTGTATATCTGTATATGACTAATGAGGGCATTGGATGTTAGCTGTCATGTGGGTTCTGAGATTCAAAGTGGGTTTTCTGCAAGAACAGCCAGTACTCTTAACCGCTGAGCCATTTCTGCAGCCCCCTATTTTTTGTGTATGAGTATATTGCCTTCATGTATGTAAGTGCACCCGTGTCCTGCAATACCCACAAAGGTCAGAAGAGGGCATTGGATCCCCTGGAGCTGGAGCTAGGGATGATAACCACTATGTGGATGCTGGGAACCTAACTCAGGTACCCTGCCAGAGCAGTCAGTGCTCTTAACTGCTGAATCATCTTTCTAGCCACCAACTTAAAAAAAATATTTTTATTTTTTAACCCTCAGAAGAGGGTGTCTGATCCCCTGGAACTAAAGTTATGGATGGTTGTTAGCCACCCTATGGGTGCTAGGATTTGAACATGGGCCTTCTTCAAGGGCAGTGTTCTTAATCACTGAGTCATCTCTTCAGCCTGTTTTGTTTTCCCCAACAAGGTCTTAGCTATGTACCACTGACTGGCCTGGAAATATGAACAAATACCAGGCTGGCCTCAAACTCGCAGAGATCAATGTGCCTCTGCCTCTTGAGTGCTAGGATTTAGGATTAAAGGTAGGCCCAGCTATAAGACTTTTTTTTTTTTTTTTTTTTTGTCTTTTTTGAAACAGAGACTGGTCTCCCTGTGTCCCCAACTGTCCTGGAACTCACTATGTAGACCAGGCTGGCTTGGAGCTCAAGAGATCCACCTGCCTCTGCCTCCCAAGTGCTGGGACTACAGGTGTGGGCCACCAATCCTGATGCTATGAGACTATTTAAAATTTATTTGGTCTTTTTGAAACAGGGTCTCCCTGTAGCCCCAGCTGGCCTGGAACTCAAAAGATCTGCCTGCCTCTGCCTCCTGGCCCCAAATTTATTTTGTGTGGGTGTGTATATGGTGTCAGGGGTGGAGGTAGGGAGTAGTGTGCAGGTCTGGGTGCTAGTGTGGAGGTCAGAGGACAACTCTGTGGTTAATTCTCTCCTTCCACCTTCATGTGGACTCCAGTAATGGAACGTGGGTGGCCAGGCTTGTAGGGCCTTCAAGTATCTTTACTCAATGAGGTGTCTCACCTCCATTAATCACATAGCTTGTCTGGGAGAGTGTACTGGGGAGAATTAACCCCAAGTAAGGAGGGAGTGAAGTAGGTGAAAGACAGGAGATGTGACTTCACATACAGGAGCCCTGTGTGCCTCGAGTGAGGCTCTGGTCTCTGCTGCTACAAGCAGATGAGCTGCTGGAGCATCTGACTCATAGGGTGCACTGCTTCACTGGTTTCTGTTTAATTTTTAAATGAATACCGTATGTGTGCTTTTCTGTGTGTATGTATACGAGTGCAGGTGCCTACAGAGGTCAGACTCCCATGGAGCTGGAGTTACGTGCTCTTACCCATTGAGCCAGCTATCTATCCATAATATTTTAAATTAAAAAAAAAACTATTCAAAACATATGATAAGAAATTAGGCTTATATCAGTATACAAATAAGTTTACTTAAAATCAGTTGTTACATATTTAAAAAAACATTCACAAACTCCTCCCAGGGAATGGGCTCCTGGGAAACCTGCAGTCCCACCTAGGGGCACCAACACAAGAGTCCAGGTACACAGATACTCTTTTCATGACACTGACGGTCACAAAGAAAACTTTCTCCCCTGGATGAATAGGAAGTATTCACAGAGAACATCCACAAAGCAAAGCTGCTAATATCAGAAGAGTTCTAGAACTTCAGTTGAATATAGTCCTCTACTGTTCTTTTCTTGATTCAACTTCTGGAGCTCCCAAAAACTCACTTCAATCTTGTTGAGCTTGGAATAGATACATATCTACAGAAAAACATTCAGAGTATCTTTTAAAAAAATTTTAATAACTACATGATTAGAAGAAGCATTTCATTACAGCATAACATATTCAGTAACACACTCCAGAGCAATATAGTCCATCTCTTTCACAAGTGGCTGTAAGTTTCTATGTTCACAGTTCAATTAATAGTTATACAATATTGAACTCAGTATAAGTCCTGTAAGAAAAAAATATTGAATGAGTTTTTAACCTTTAAAAAAGGTCTCCATTTTATTTTAGAATATATTGTTTTTTGCAGAAAGACTCATTGTTTTTGCTACTAGCACTGAGATGTTGGCGCATACATCTCTAATCTGTATGTATCTATTAGTAGTCATAATTGGTTGCACTTGGAACCTTGGTGCCTGTGTATGTCTATAAAGATGTCGGGTAGATTTCAGTGGTAATGTTTATCACCTTTACTAATTAACATGATGTAAATTTCCATGCTTTCTCCTCAAATATATTTAAATTTTTGTTGATTTTTTTTTGTGTGTATCACACAGAACATCCCAAATCATCTTATTCAACTATTTACCCACTTCCCAGATGGCACCCTCCCATAGCCTCCCTCCTCCCACTAGAGGCCTTATACTCTGTTATCCCTGCTACTGTCTGCTGTGTTGTCAGTACCCCAGCCATTCCCCACTACTTGTCCATCTGGTGAATCTAGTCAGCCTATGTAGAGGTCTTTGTTTTAGGAAGGTTAGCTGTTCTTCATCTAGCAGCAATCAGTTGTCAATATTCCTTTAGGTAAGATTGGGGTCTGCTGTTCATTTTCCCAGTTCTATGCTGGGTTACTATCTGGGAGTCTCTTTGGCCACCCTGGCCAACAACTCAAAAGAAGTTATC